GCATATTTAAGGAGCAGATAGGGGAAGCAGAGTAGGACCCTGAAGGAGGTATAGTTTTTTTCCGGTATGTGTGTGTGTGCACACTATTAAAATGATCTCAGACTTACCTAGTTCAGTGTCTTTTCTCTACATCAGAAGCTCCTTGTGTCTGCTCACCACCCCCCCCCCCCCCCCGCCAACTCTCCACCCTGCACTGGTATCCTAAGGCATGGTTACAGAAAATGCTCTGTATTTTCTGGGGTAATGAATGAGGGGTCCCACAGTCTTGTGGTCTGGCAATTATCAGCTTAATGCAAGTCGAGGAAGGATCAAGTCCCTCCCTACATCTCTGTGAGAAGAAACAACCACAGACCCTGGGACAACAGTGTTGGGCATGTTACTATTCAAGTGCAGGTGTATCTGATAGGAGATGAGGGCTCAGCTCTCTCCTGGGCACAGAAATCTCCTAGCACTGGACTCCCTCTCTTCATGGGCAACTCCAGGGATTAGTTTTTAGGTTTCTGAAGGCACCTCTGGAAATCCTCCTCATTGCCATCCTCTCCCAATCTGTTTCCCCCACATTGTCTTTATGCTTTCCCCCAAGTATTCTTGCCTCCCAAACCAAATCAAAACAAAACCTGTTTTCTTCTTTCCCTTTGGTTTGATGGTGACCCAAGCAATTAGGAATTGAAAACTGCTTTTTCTAAGACATTCTCATCAATCCAGAAAGTACTTTTTGTTCGATTGCAGTAAATAACAGAAAAAATAAGATTCTATATTAAGAAAAACTGAAGAATCACGTCTTGCTACATACATATTCTCAAATAGTTGATATCATATGCTATATACAGTTTTATATCCGGTTTTATTTATTTAATATTGTAGTATGGAACATTTTTCATGTTAGCAAAATATTTCCTAAGCATCATCTCTAAAAGCTGCATAATTGACTATTTCATAATTGTTTTAATACTCTATCCAATTCAATGGTCCTTAGTGCACATGAAACTGACAGTTCTAGGTACTTGTTGAAAACACAATCTCAATCTAATGCCCTACAACATTTATCAAAGGGAGGTTTATCTAAAGGATATCAGCTTACTCATTCACAGGTACTCTATAATCTCTAGACCAGTACAGGACGAGGTGCTTGGCCCACATCCTGCTTTATTTTGATGTTGGGTCATGAGGCCATATGAGAAAAGTTGGAATACTCAGCTCAGCAGAAGTGGTCATCTTGTCTACACAAGGATGCTATCAAGGTCATTAGCTATGACATTACCTAATATCTTTTTATGAGAACCATCTGTGTTCTGTGCAATAAATCTATGTCTGATCTTACTACCAAGAATAATTGGACTTCTGCAGAGTAAGTGGTCTGCTTTTATATCATGAGTATTGTGAATTTTATAACTGATCAGATTTTTCTTTATCCTCAGGCTGCTAGAAAGCTTCTAGGCAAATTTGTGACCTTCTTTTAGCAAGGGTATAGGTGAAATAATATGTATTTTTAGCATCGTTCCTATTTTATGTCCCCATCATTGTTTTTTTCTTTCTTCTACAGAATTCTTGAAATTATCTGTGTTTTATAGAGTACTGCCTGCTGTTTTAAGTTTTTTCTAGAACTAAGTAATAGAGCATAATTGTTCAGGGCCTCGCTCAGGATTTGAAGCCACTTCCTGTCTGTGTGCCCTTGGGCAAGTAAGTTACTTATTTCCTCTGTACCTCAGTTTTTTCCTTTGTATAAAAGGGAATACTGTTACCTGCCTCATAGAGTTTTGATGAGGATTAAATGACAAGATACATGTGAAGGCTCATAGTTAAGTGGTTAAAAGAAGTTTTAAAATAATTAAAAAGAAGTCATTGGAATATTTCTATTGTTTCAGTTTTACTTATATAGGATTTACTCCAATTGGAATGACTGGGCAAAGACCATGGGTGTTTGGGAGGCTGTGTGCTTAATTTTCCCGTCAACTGGCATAGACAATGGGATAAGACAGGATAAGACTCCTGTCTTATCATGCTTTAGCAGTGCTGAGTTCTTTTGAAAATGCTTGCTGACTTGACAGGCAAAAAAAAGGAGTATTATCTTATTGTCATTTCAATCTACATTTTGTTGATAACTAATGAGATTGAACCTTCTGACCCAAACCACTACATTTATTTTATTAATCACTTCATTTCTTCTCTCTTTCCATCTTTTGCAATTTTTCTATCAAGGTCCTTGTGTTTTTCCTTGTATCTGTTTAAATAAGATAACAGACTCTATTTTTTCTGTCTCTAGTCATCTGCTGAGAGGAGACAGCCTAATAGAGAAGCCTGAGGAACAGTCATGGGGAATAGAAAAGGGGCAACCAGGAACACATAAATGGGTGCTCAGGTCAGCATGCAGGCCCTGCAGAATGAACTGCCATCTTATTAACTGAGGATGGATACATAGTTCTAAAAGCAAAACACTCGAAACACAGTTGCTAGATCATTTCCATAATCTAACTCTCTCCTCTTGTTTTTTTAAAACAAAATCAATTCCAGAAAAATAAGTTTTTAAAGCATTAGGTTTTTGTTCTTTCGGTTGAGATAAAATTCCTTGAATTACAGAGCAATTTTAAGATCACAATCAAACACTTGTCTGATGCAAAAACTGTTTGTAGAAGAGCAATTATTTTTGTAGCCATGGAAACACAGCTGATACCATGACTACATAACCAGCTCGCACAAATAATTTTTAGTAAACCAAGTCAAATAAATCGTGTATCTACCAAAATCATTTCATTTTAGAAATGCTTTCTCATATTGCTGGTAGAGGGAAATTAGATGGTTTGGCATTGTGTTACACAACTGGCTCAACTTCTTAGCATCTCTTTTTTGACAATTTTAGCTTTTTCTGTTCTTTTAAAAACTGTTTAATAAATACAAAGGACATGCCATAATAATCCTCTAATCTCTCCTCTGATTTCTCCTAATAAGGCCCCTGGATATTCCAGCCTATTTTCATGAGGATATTGAGAGATTCAAGGATGCTAAGCCCAGACCATGGCCACATGCTTGACAAAGCTATACAAACTTCATCAACAATTTATCTCACGTGCAACTGCATTCTCTAGGTGATTAAGGAAAACCCAACTGCAAGCTTTTGACGTTCAATTTGGAAAACATGTGAAGTGGATCCCATCCTAACCCATTGTCCTTTTCCTCTACTCCTTCTTTAAAGACAACATGTCTCATGTCCTCCATGCTACTCTGTGCCAGACCCAGTTCTAAGCATTTTACAACTAATTTACCCTTCTCAACAATCCCAGGAGATCAGTTTTCTATTTTACAGATGAGGAAATGAAGGCACAGAGAAGTTATATACCTTGTCCAAGGACTCACAACTGATAAATGATGTTCATCAACTGTTATATAGGCTTTTCTAGTAAACCACGTACTCCTCTCTCATTGGACTGGAAACCGGGATTGTCCACAAAACTTAAAACTTTGTTTTAAGCCTTAAGCAATATAGAATGAGTCTAGTGAAACATTGTAAGCAGAAAGAGTTAGGGGTCCCCAGAAAAGAAAGACAAGACATAGCTTTAGTGACATCAGAGAAGTCACTGTAGGCAGCTCTTTTCTGTGATCTATGTATGCCCCGCTAATCTGAGCTCACTTCTTGCAGAATTTCCTAGGATGCGTCAGAATTACAAAGAAATGCAAAAACCATAGTAATTAAGGATTTTAAGGGAACAAAGGGAATGCAAACACTAACATTCTCTACCAGTCCAGGAAATAAACTAACCTGTTCAGAGACAATAAATAAATATTAGAACTCCCAGTGCTATTCCAAAAGTAAGCAAGGCCCTGCATTCCTTCTCTGAGATAACAAGCCCAAGACCCCATGGAGTTTATACCAGTTCTAGGAACATGACCATATAGCCCCTCCCCCTGCTTTATTATAATGTTAAAGTCTATCCTAAGAGGAGCACAAGCTTCATGAACATAATATAGGATGTTTTCTAAGTACCTGCATAACCTTATTTATGCCTGCCTTTATATGTGATAATAAAGCTCCCCTTTCTGAATATTCATCCTAACCCTAAATAAAAGAACCTACTCACCCATGCTCCAGGAGTCATGCTTTGGAAGTTATTTCCCTCCTCCTCGCTGCCCTCCCCCCCCCCCCCATCTCCTTATGTGTTGCAAATAAAGTTTCCTTTGTGTGATGACTGCACCTAGGCTAGTCTTTTTTTTTTTTTTCTTTACATTTATTTGTTTTTGAGAGACAGAGACCCAGCACAAGTTAGGGAGGGGCAGAGAGAGGAGACACAGAATCCAAAGCAGGCTCCAGGCTCTGAGCTGTCAGCACAGAGCCCAACGCAGGGCTCGAACTCACAAACCGTGAGATCATGACCTGCGTTGAAGTCGGACCTTAACCGACTGAGCCACCCAGGCACCCCTGGGTTAGTCTTTATCTATGACTCATCAACGAGCAAACGCACACATGCACGTTAGTTCAGATACAACATCGTTGATGATTTTTGTTCATGTTGCCAAACACCACTCCTGAAGCAATTGGCACAACTGGAAATTGAGATGGACTGGTGACACAGCTGCTACACACAACAGGAGATGTCAGGAGCATGAGGGGAGGGCTTTGCAGACTATGGGAGCATATAACGAAGCCACACATGCACGACCAACATGGAGGACATGTTGAGGGATATGTACAGGAGAAGGGGTGGGGATGGAGGACATGACTCATGGCACAATGCATTCAATTAATTTTTAAAAACCATTTTTTTCACTTCAAGGCCAAAAATTCTATCATTCATCCTCAAGATTAAAATAAAGAAATCCTAAACACTTTCAATTGTTGCCCTGAATGCAACAGGTAGAATCTTGATGAGATAAACGCATAAGGTTGGCTCCATCTCCTATGTGGCTAAGGCAAGAAGCTCTGATGCCTTCAGGATCCATCTTACTCCATGGAAAGCATTCTTCATCGTAATAGCCTTCCTGAACCCTTCAAATGTGACTGGGAATAGACACGGGTAGAGGAGCCCTCAAAGCCATGTGTTTCTGTAAGACCGAGGGTATGGGCTACGAAGAAGCCCATTGAGAAGAGAATGGCTGTACTAAGTGAGCAGATGAAGGAGGCTGATAGATCATCTTCTGAATATGAAAAAGAAATTGAGGAGCTGAAGGAACTGCTACCTGAAATTAGAGAGAAGATAGAAGATGCGAAGGAGTCCCAGCGTAGTGGGAATGTAGCTGAATTGGCTCTGAAAGCAACTCTGGTGGAGAGCTCTACTTCAGGTTTCACTCCTAGTGGAGGAGGCACTTCAGTCTCCATGGTTGCCAGTAGAAAGCCAACAGATGGTGCTTCCTCATCTAACTGTGCGACTGATATTTCCCACCTTGTCAGAAAGAAGAGGAAACCAGAGGAAGAGAGTCCCCGAAAAGATGATGCAAAGAAAGCCAAACAAGAGCTGGAGGTGAATGGAGGCAGTGGGGATGCCATCTCCAGTGGAAATGAAGTTTCAGAAAACATGGAGGAGGAGGCTGAGAATCAGGCTGAAAGCCGGGCAGCAGTGGAGGGGACCGTGGAGGCCGGAGCAACAGTTGAAAGCACTGCATGTTGGGGCGCCTGGGTGGCGCAGTCGGTTAAGCGTCCGACTTCAGCCAGGTCACGATCTCGCGGTCCGTGAGTTCGAGCCCCGCGTCGGGCTCTGGGCTGATGGCTCAGAGCTTGGAGCGTGTTTCCGATTCTGTGTCTCCCTCTCTCTCTGCCCCTCCCCCGTTCATGCTCTGTCTCTTTCTGTCCCAAAAATAAATAAACGTTGAAAAAAAAAAAATTAAAAAAAAAAAAAAAAAGAAAGAAAGCACTGCATGTTAAGAGAGGGCACAGAGCCTTCCTCCTGAGGGAAAGTGTTTTTGTATATAATGTATTTTTTCACTTTGGGGGGATTCTTTTTGTATAACTTCAATAAAGATTGTAAGCAAAAAAAAAAAAAAAAAAAAAAAAAAAATTCTCTCCCTAGGGGAGAACAAGGAAACTAGGCAGAGGAAATTCAATTCACCACGAGGGTCAGGCCACATGACCCTAAAGAGAATGTTCCCTGAGCAATCTTTCCCAATGTATCCACAACCTGTTACAAAGGCTGCTGAGTGGAGGGTCCATTGTTAATCCACCAAACCATGTCTGTGGCTGTTCACCTTATAATATTGAGCCTGTACCATACTTGGCTCTTCGGGACGGATACTGAAAAATAAACATTATACATACAATCAATCCTTAACGGAATACTTTTGAGATCAAGGGGAACTATTCCTGTTATGTCTTCATTGAGCTCACCAGTTCATGACTTGGGCTCTTCTATAGATCATGTATCTTGGGGGGACACAGGTGCCACCTTCCAAATATGTTCAAAACCTTGGAAAGACATAGGATATGGACTAGTTTGGGTTAGGGGAACCTCTAATGATAGTTATGATAATATTGATGTCCAACCAAGCCTACAGTAGGAAATTGAACTATGATTACGAGTTGGCCTTAAGAAAAAATTACAAAATTACAAAAGTAGGGGGGCAGGGAGAGAGGAACTAAGGAAATCCAAAATTATTCAATGTGCAGCATATAATAAGGAATATGTTCAAGCATAGAAAGGGAAACCAAAAAAGAATAATATAATCAACGATCAAATAATAAATGGAAAAAAACTCCTTACAAATTTCATACTTTCTCCTCACTGGAGAGTTCAAATATGTATTGAAGCAGGAAACCTGCTATTGTGTTTGTCCTCTATAAATGGGCATATAAAAGACTTAACTTTTGTAGGGGAAGAAAGACTTTCCCCCTCTTCTTCTTCTTTTTTTTTTTTTTTTAATTTTTTAAATTAGTTTTCTTTATTTTTGAGAGGCAGAGAGAAACAGAGTGTGTGCGGGGGAGGGGCAGAGAGAGAGGGAGACACAGAATCAGAAGCAGGCTCCGGGCTTGAGCTGTCAACACACAGCCCGATGCGGGGCCTGAACTCACGAACCGTGAGATGGAGACCTGAGCCGAAGTCGGTTGCTCAACCGACTGAGCCACCCAGGGGCACCCCTTCCCTCCTCTTCTAAGTATGATATCTGGGTCTATGACATAAACTGGCAACAGGCAGATTTATAGGAGAAAAGGTGCACAAATTTATTAATTTTTAATATTATGTACACGGAGGGGGAAGCTGTGAAACCTGAGAGCTTTACAATCTTAACAGGGCAAGGGAATAGAGGTTGCAGGCCACTTCAGAGCGACTACTTGATTTTTTGGTAAAATGAATGGGCCTTAGGAGAAAAATGGGACATATGATAGTTTGTGACAAAATGTGTCTGGGTGTGGTTCCAACTTCTGGTCTTGCCTCCTATGATAAAACTCAGTCTTCCCTGGTTGAGGAAATTCCAGGGGAGGGCACCTATGACAACTGCTTTCCTTTTAGAGGATCTCTCTTTGGGCAGATAATAGAAGTTCAGAGAAAGCCTCCGCTAGCATTTGCTGACTTTCACGTGCCTTCAGCTCAAAATAATCAATATACAAATGGGGCATATTTTGGGGTGGCATGAGCTGAATTCTTTCACCTCCATAAATGAGACTGCAAGGATACCAAAGAAGGCCTTTGCAAAGGCTGTGCACTCTGTAATATATGTGAAGTAGGCAGGTCAGATGCTCTTCTTGGGAACTGCTCCATCCTCTCAGGGGCTGGCCAGCATGCTAACCAGAAAGCCCACCCTACAAGTGCTTCTCTGTAATAAGCAAGGAGACTTTGCCAATTAGTATCATTATGTTACAAGAGAGTTTTCATTGGTAAAACTGGTGATGATGAAGATAGGTGGATTAGCTAAAGTGTTTTAGCCACTCTTGACAGGAACAGAGTATAAGAATCTAGGATGTTCTGGAGTGCTTGGGTGGCTCAGTCATTAAGCATCTGACTTCGGCTCAGGTCATGATCTCGCAGTCCATGAGTTTGAGCCCCACATCGGGCTCTGTGCTGATAGCTCAGAGCCTGGAACCTGCTTGGATTCTGTGTGTGTGTGTCTCTCTCTGTCCCTCCCTGGCCTGTGGTCTGTCTTTCTCTCTCTCTCTCTCAAAAATAAACATTAAAAAAATTTTTTTGAAGAATCTAGGGTGTTCTGGAGCCTGTTCCTTAAGGGATGGCACCCAGATCGACTTCTAAACCTCCTGTGTTCAGTCATTGATTCAGAAGATTCAGTGATGAAGTTAACCACATCCTGCCTCCAGAATACTGATACCTGTGTCTTAAGGTAAACATTTTATGCAAGATGTACTCCAGCACCTGAGGAAACAGACTTGGTCTTAATCTAATCGAATAAAATATCGTAAGAACTGCTGTGTTCCTGCTTGCTGCTAAGTGCAAGCTCGGTAAATACCTTGATTTTATCTGAAATTTGTTTTCATTATAAGCTGGTAGTGAGGAACGGGGATTAGCTAAACCTAACCCACCTCTAACTAAGGGCTATCACCAATATCAGTCAAGAAATAACTTTAAAATTATATTAAGTCCAAATTGCTGTATGTCAGTTAACAATTACGACCAATATTCATTTCCCTTCCGCTCCTTTGTGTAAAAGTCATGATATTTTGGTGAGATTGTCTATTCCAGGGGGTCATTCTTGATCAAGTCTTTGAGAGCAACCCATAAATAGTACCTCACTTCCTACCTGGTTTCTGAACCAATTAAGAAACGTTCCAAAGGAATAAGGCAGATGGAAACTCAATTGTTACTGTTAGTACTGATAGTTTGGAAGATGAAGCTCTGTGTGGAAAATAAAATGATTGTGTTAATTCCTTGTCCTCCAGTCTAGCCCTTAGAATAACCCACCTAAGGGCAAGTTTCAGAGAACAGAGCAGATACATTCACCTAGTGTTTGCTTTCATTGGGCTAGAAAAAAGAGGGAGGGAGAAATAGACCAAAATCTCCATGCTTGAGACCTTTGATAATTGAGCTTAACCCACTTAATAAAAAAGGCCCAGTGGCTCACTCATGGATCAGGCAATATAGCCAATCCACATAGAGATCAGTAAGGAATGAAGCAAATGGCCTCATCTTGATGCCCCTAGCATTAAAAAAAAAAAAAAAAAAAACAAAAAAAAACAAAAAAAAACAAAAAAAAAAACATCAGTGAATACCTTACCTGGAGTTCTATTATAAAATCATCGTCCTTTCTGGTCTTTGGCCTAGTCAGGCAAAAGGCAAAAATCAGCCTCTCTCTCTGGTTCAGCTCAGTCAGTCCCTCATCAATCACACCTATGAGTCAGGGGACAACAGATATCTAAGATGAACCTGTAAGTCTGGGACCTACCCACAGTTCCACACCGTGACACTCAATCCATGGTAGCCAGCTACCCCTGACCAGTCCTGTCAACACTCCTGCCACCTCAGGGTAATGTCAGGGAGCAGATCTATTTTAGTGACAGCTTGTGAGGGAAAAAGTTCCTTCCAAACTTGAGGAGCTCCTTCTTTCAGCCACTAGCTCTTTTATGCAAATATAAACCCAGGATTAAGAATGTGACATTAAATTTATCCTCACTTTACAAAAAAAGCAAGCCTTATCTTAATTGTCAAAGCCTAGATTTGAAAATAAGACTGAATCTATTTAGCAAAAATTCTAAACTTTTCCAAAACTTAGTAGGTACCTATAGAGATCAAGTAGGGGATATATATATATATATCACATAATACCTGTTTTAGATAAATATAAACGGAAATTTAATTTAAATGAATTTCCTTCTCAAAAAAGGATTTATAATGTTACTTTATACACTGTTGTTTCGTTAGATTATGACATAAATATGGTTCAGCTGTTGTCCATTTTAGCAAACTAGACTGAAGGTTCATGGAATGAACTGAGTCATCACTGTGGCTTCTATCCAGACCAAAACAAAGTTGAGCTATAACAATAATAATGGCAGCATTTTAAGAATGAGAACTTTTTTTTTTTTTTAATATTTATTTATTTTTTGGGACAGAGACAGAGCATGAACAGGCGAGGGGCAGAGAGAGAGGGAGACACAGAATCGGAAACAGGCTCCAGGCTCTGAGCCATCAGCCCAGAGCCCGACGCGGGGCTCGAACTCACGGACCGGGAGATCGTGACCTGGCTGAAGTCGGACGCTTAACCGACTGCGCCACCCAGGCGCCCCACGAAGAATGAGAACTTTTAACGAGTGTCTACATTTTGTAGAGAAAATAAGTGACATTTAAAAACATGTTTCAGTGTTTGCAGTATATCTTTAAGAGCATATGACCAAAAACTTTAAGAGCATTTTGGTTAAAAAAAAAAACAATAAATATATTTATATTTTTTGTGTGAGAGAGAGATTGACCAGGATCTTAATGTTTTAGGGCCCGACACAAGAAATGAAATATTACAGGATAATGTTATTCAGTCTAAGTATAAATCTAGACATACACTATTTATAGGAAAAGAGAGCTAAATGGAAATGAAAACAAAATTGACAAACTTCAATAGAACAATGAAAAGTCACATATAAGCACAGATTCTTCACATCAGCCACAATGTTAGTTGTGCAAGGCAGGCCTCCTTAGACACTAGGGGAAAGGAGTTCTAATGCAGTCTTGAGAGAAAGTCCACTTAATCCAGGGTAGGTTGCTTTAAATCACCCCATCAGGAGAGGAACCAGAGGAAGAAAGTACTCCACACAAGGGGTTCTTTCTCCCCAAACCATCTCTATGAATTTGGGCAAACAAATTGAGCAGTGCTCAAACATAGAGCACTGCTCCTTAGGAAATTGAGAAGGAAGGTATAGATCAGTCACCATACATATTCAATTTTTTTTGACTACACAGTACACATGTCTGAATTATTATCCCTATTGTACAGATGACAAAACTGATGCTTCCTCGAGAGAAGATATACAACCAGCAGAGCCAGAATCCAAACCCAAGTTTGTCTTCTATCAAGTTCTCTCCTCTTTCTGGGCCTCTT